AGTTTCATGGCACCAGCCCAAAGGATTAAGTTCTTTGATCTTATTTGAGGGTACTCAGTGAGGGCTCTAAGTTATCGAAGTATTTAATTCCTCTCATGGACACAAGCACCTGCACAAGACAGACCACGAGAATCATCTGTGCTGCCCACAAAGAATGCCAGACCCACAGCACCGGCAAAGCAGCCAGCCTGAGCAGCTCTCGGGTAGGCTCCCAGGGGACAATCCCGGGGTGCTGCCAGTGCCTCCAGCTCTGCTGCGTTGTGTAAACAGCTCGTCATTTCTGTGTGCTTGACTTGGCCGGCATTCCTCTCCCGCTGCCAGTTAGATGGGGTGTGGGTCAGAAAGGCTGGGAAATGAGTCGTGGGGTGGGGGCAGGACTGACAGCACTGGCTGAGGATGGTAAGCTCCTGTGATTACAGCAGCTCCAGAAACATCTTCAGATAGCAGGCAGAGTCCAGAGACGGACATCTCTCAGTGAATGCACTCGAGTCTCTGCATCCACCATGCCACACTGGCGCCACCCTTCAGGAAAGGCACGAGGCCTGACTGTCCCTAACAAAGCTGCCAATGGACTGCCATCAGCTGGCAGAACAGCAAGCCCCACTGGATCCAAACCACAGACAGGCAAAACGCCAGCTCCATGACAACTCTTTCCCTTCTCTAACCTGCCTCCGGCTATTTTCCTATCAATTGGCTCTTAACCACCCCACACATAAACTGGGGTGAAGCCAGGGGAATTGTTCACCAAACTTCCCTCCTCCCATCAGCTCAGACACAGCAGGGGCAAAATAAACACCATTTCTGATAAACCAGTTGTCTGACTGGCGCTTTGATGAACGGCTCAGTGAACAGCCCAGAAAGGGACTGATTGGTGATGGTCCACCGTGTGCTGGGGAGGCAGCTGAGGCAGTCAGACAGCAACCACAAGAAGTCTTGAGGAGCACAGAGCCTGAAGGCCCAGCTCAGGAGGTCAGCGAGGGAGCACTCACTGGACCACCACAGCCCCAATTTGGGAAGCCCGGAGCAGACCCAGGCAGGTGGTGTTTCACTGAGGGGCTCTGTGAGCCCCTGCTATTACCTCTTCCCTCGGCCCTCTCCAGTCAACCAGCTCCCAAAAGATGCATTTGTTGCTGAGACACTGGGCCATTAGTGTCATAATGAAAAGGCTGCATTGGGAGGCCTGAAAAATTGAGGAACAGCAAGTGACAGACCCTACCAGGCAAACACTAGGGTCTCAGTGGCTCTAAACAAGTGGGTCTTCAAACATTCAACTCACTGCGACTTCACAGGGAAACCGTGTTAGTGGCTCACGGAGGCCCACAGCTCAACAAGTCATATAAAGGGCTGCAGCTTGTCACTGTGTGCACAGCTGAGCAAGGCAGCTCAAGTCCTTCAAAACTACTTCTAAAAATGGTGCCAGTGGGGCACACTTACATAAACTTGCAGCCACTCCTTGCGGAGTGTGTACAGCTGTGTCCCTCTAGCTCTTTCCATGTGACCAAGCCACATTCACACGACAAAGACATCCACAGGAACTTTGCTCATGGCCGCTTTTTGAGTTCTTTCTGCCCTGGAAGGGAGCCTGGGAGAGGAGCAGGACAGTCTGAAGTTTGATTGGAGATCAGAGAGCAGGGCTGAGATAGCTCTGAAAGACCACCCAGACCCATCTCCTTGTCTGGGTAGGACTGGGAAGAAAGAGCGACCTTTGTGACCCCCTTGAGGCAGCAGCTTGAGGCAACACAGAGAAATCTAAGTCTGGGTGAGAAAGGAGGGCACAACTGAGAGGTGACAGGGGCCACATCCTGGCAGGAGGGAGGGACGATATCCTCACTACAGCTAGTCTGGTCTCGGCCTCCACCGCATCATGGGAACTTGGTGTGTATTGGGAAAAGGTTTCTTGGGAAAAGGTATCCCCTTGGACAAGCAGCAGGGGGGCTGGATATCCAACCTCTCCCTCAGAGGGTGCTAGTGTAGAAGAGATAATCTGCACAACTGAGCAAGGCAGTGCAGAGCATAGGAGCCACACAGAAGCAACAAAGTCTCCCCACTTCATGTGCCATTTGGTACCTTTAAACATATCTTCTTGATATCACAGCAGGGCATAAGCCTCATCCCTTCTTCCATGCAAGGAAATCAGTTTTCGAAAGTGAGAAGGCACAAGAAAAAGACAACATGTAACGCTAAAGATAACCCTTTATGTGTGCTCCAAGATCTTAGGCAAGAGCCTCATCTCTTTTTGCCTTCATAAACCGTGCATGTTCCTAAGGAGGAAAGGAGAACTGCACCATGCAGGCTCCCTTCTGGGTTCAGAAACCTTCAGGAGGCTTCAAAAAGCCTTGGGTCTTCCCAGGTGCACACAGATAACCACCCTCCCCAGACATGCTTCACATTTGGGGATCCAATCACAGTAATGGACACCCATGACCCCAAAGCAGAAAGCACCCTGGAGACCCCTAGATCCTTCCTTTACTCCACTCTAGAGGCTACCAAGCATGCAGAGTCCCACTCCTACACATCCCTCATCTCCTGCTGGTCTTCACTGCTGCCATGTTAGCTCAAATCATCCCCCAGTTGCTTCTCTCTTCCTTACATGCTGCTTTCTGCAGGGTCTTTGAAAACCCCCCACAGGATCAGAATTAGACCAACTGCTATCATACCTGCCTCACCTTGGCCCTGTCCATCCGCCCCTACCACACGTCAGCCACGCCAAGGACACAGTGCTCCCTCAGAGCAGCCAGCCCATACCGCCACACTGTGCCCACAGCCTCCCTTGGCCTGGAATGCCCTGCGCACCACCATGGCTTCAATAAGTGATCCGCACCCTGACCTTCCTGATTAGCCTGCTGAGCTGCCAAGGGGGTTCTGAAAAACTAAATCGAGGCCCTCCCAAAGACCCTGTCAAGAGGCAGGAGTCTATGGGCAACGTGAGATAGGAAGCACACAGGGAAGGCATCCTCCATCAGGCCTTTGACACCCTCAACTAGACCAGAAGACCCTATTCAGGCTCCTGTGTCGGATTTCCCTCAGATCTCACTGGCAATTATGGTCATGCATCTGTCTGACTCCTGAGACTGCCATTTGGTAGAGACCCTATCACCTCCCTGTGTGTCTCCCCACACCCAGCCAGATCAGACCTGGGGAATGGGCTTTGGGGTACAGCACCCAAGGAGTGTCTGCTTGTGTTCAGGCTGAGCTTCCTGCTGGCTAGGTCTGCATTGCTCCTGGGGTCCCTTGCCCCAGTAGAAGCCAGACCTGCCTCTATTGTGTCCATGTGAGTGCCAGTGCCCCTACAGGATTCTTGATCCAATTTCAGAAACACTGCCTTTTCAATAGCCTGGAGGCCTCTCTGATACAGGAAGGTTGAGAAAAACATGGGCCCACCCTCACCAACCGAAGCCATGACAGGTCACAACACAGGTCTGACAGGTGACCTGAGCTCCTAGACATTGAGCAAGAGCTATGGACAAGTCGGGTCTGCTCTCTGGGTCCATACCTTCCAGAATGTCAGACTGCTCAGAACAACCAAGATGAAGGGGGGGGCGGGGAACAACCGGGATGGATGAGATCCCTCCTGATAAAATTCCTTTTGTGCTTAAGTTGAAATGTGGGGAGGGGGCTGCCCTTGTGGCTGCTGCTCCAGGAAAATGATTACAACAGATTTTCCTTGTGCACCCTTACCACTAACCCTTTGGCCCCCTCACACCGAATGTAAATAATCCTATTTACAAAGCTCTATTGTCAAGCCATACACTAAATATCCATAAGTGTTATGGCCTGAGTTGTGTATCCTCAAATTCATGTTCTGACCTTCAGGACTTCTGTATATGGCAGTATCTGGATACAGTCTTCAAAGATGTAATTAAGTTAGAATAGGGCCATTCGAACGGGCCTTCATCCAGTATGACTGTGTACTTACAAGAAAAGGAAATTCAGACAGATATGCAGAGGGAGAATCAGAGAAGTAGAGAGGCTTCAGAAGAAAGCGACCTGCAGACACCTCGATGTTGAATTTACTGCCTCCAGAACTGAGGAGCAGCAAATTCCTGTTCAAACTACCCAGGCCACGCATGGTACTCTGTTATGCCAGTCCTACCAAACTAAATTCAGAGAAGCTTGCTTTCTGTCTTTTGCTTAAATATAATACAACCTTTGTAATGTTTTCTTCTCACACCCCACTCTGGAGGCTGCTATCAGGGCAGGAGTGATGAATCTGTGGCCTAGCTGGGTTTCACAGCACAGGTCACACATAGGCACATGGGCGAGGGGACAAGTAAGTCTGAGGACTCTGGAATCTTGCCCCGTGAGCAAGAGTGCACTGGACAGACCCGAAAAGGTGATGTCGCGGCACAATGGGGCAGGTTTGTCACATGCCAGCTCTTGAAACCCTCCTCTTGCCAGCTGGCGCCTACCTCTTCTGATTATAATAATCACCCAAGGATGCCTCGGTCCCAGCTCCCCAGACCTGGCTTTTAAATGAGCCAGGCGCCTTCAGAAACCGGAGCCTGGGCCCTTCCGCGGCGAGAGCCCCGTTTGCGGTAGGAGCGCGAGACGCGCGCCCCGCTGCGCCCCCTCCGCCAAAAGCCCGGCCCAGCCCCCACCCCAAACTCAGCCGGAAGCAATCAGAGCTCGCAGTTTCAGCCTCACAGCGTTCATCGATTGACATTTTGTACCCCGCGTTCGTCCTCTGAAGCAACAGGCAGTGGAACAAGTGCCTGCCTCTTCCTCACGGGTAACTTTGCAGAGTCCCGGGCGTCCCTGTTTTTCTCCTGGGTGTGGCCCGCCTATGACTTCCCACTGGTTCTGGGCTTTAAGTGAAACTCAGGTTTTCCACTCCCACCGCTGGGTCTAGGGGACGGTCACCGCCCCGGAGTCCGCGCGCCACGCTCGGTGGGAGCCAATGTGTGTGCGGTCACGGGGCTCCCGCCCCCCTCGAGCTGCGCGCCCCGGCCTCCCGCGCACCCAGGTTCTTCCGAACCGCGACCCCGCCCGGCTCCGCTCACCCAGGCCGGCAGGTGTTGGCCCCGCAGCTCGCGGCTGATGAACTCGCGCTCGTTGTTGAGGAACTCAAAGGCGGCCTCCAGGCGCCCTAGCTTCCCGCGGCGGTTCCGGCGCCACCACATCCACAGCAGGACGCCCAGCAGCAACCAGAGTATGCTGAGCCCCAGGTAGCCGGCCAGGTAGACGGGAGCCAGGTAGAGCAGCACGCGCACCACGAAGCTGTAGAGCTCCGGCAGCAGCTGGCTGGTCAGGCGCAGCTCGGGACCCGGCGCGCGCTGGGCTCCCCGGGCGCCAGGGGCTTCGGACGCTGTAGGGGCGCAGGGCTCCTCCGCTTCCATCTCCTCGCCACCGCGTTGCCCTCTTCAAGAACTTCACCTGCGCTCAGGCTTGCACGCCCCCACGCCCCGATGACACCTGGGCACATCAGTCCACGAAGCGCGAGGACTAGACTGCTCTACCAGGACGGGCCAGCCCGTGTTCACTTGCGGAGCTAGGCGCGCGCCCCAGAATGCGACTGGGGCGGAGCCCGCACCCGAGGGTGGGGATGGGGTGGGGGTGGGGTGGGGGTGGAGAATCCGGAAGTCTCCGCCCTGCAAGGCAGGACCAGGTGAAAGGGGCGGGGCCAAGCAGCCAAGGAGTCCCAGTCTCTAGGTCCTGCCTATCAGCAGTAGAGGGGCATTCCCACTTGGAGTGAACCAGGGGCTGTCCCACGCGGTTTATGAGTTACCGAGCCGGTGTATGATGGGAAAACATCACTGAAATCCTGTTTCCTATACCAGTTGAGTTTGGATTTTTAGCTGGGCATTTGAGGCTCTCCACCCACCTCCTTACCCACCACCCCAGCCTGAGTATGGGCCTGTCCCTGAATCTCAGCGCACCAGGTGGCTCTCGGAGCCCCCAACACTACCCCTTCTGGCGTCTAAAAAGCCTGAACCTATCAACTAACAGGCAGGCTGAGCTTAGGGCCCCTCCTGGGCATCCAACGCTATCTGCTCCGCTCTCCCCACTTCTCTCCGGAGTATTAATTTCGGCGTTGATTCCCTGCTTCATCAGACTGGGTGCTTTCTAGGGTCAGCCGGCCCTCCTCTTCCGCGAGTGTCAGGTAAGAGCAAGTGACTTGTGAATGAACCACATATGTCTGAAGTGTTAGGGAGTCTTCTGGTGAAGCCCGGGTCAGAGCAAGTGCAGCTCTGCATCTCTAAGTCGAGACGTGTACTAGTCAGTTTCCCATCACTGGGGCAAAATACACAGCACGCACGAGAACACACCTTTCAAGTCACATCCCCCCAATCTGGCCCCACCTCAGAGCAAGATATTCAGCCATGAATTTATCAATAGACCAACCCCACTGATGAGTATCCTATGATTCAGTCACCTTTCAAAGCCCCACTGCTGAACACATGAGACTTTTAGGGAACATTTTAGATCCAAAACAGAGAATAGTAAGTCATCCTGTGGGTGGCATATGTTTTATGTAGTTCATTCATACCAGTTACTGGAATGTGCTTTGGAGCCAGCAGGTGTACTACATGAGTTAGAATCCTTTTTCGATAGTTTTATTGAAAGGCTGGGCCTCGTGGAAAGCAGATAACTGTTTTCTTCTCTGCCCTTCAGCTCGCTCTGTTACTCTCTGATTTTATCCACCTGTCCTGGATAAAACTGTTGGCTGCAGTGAGGATTTTCAACACCCGTGTGGCCCTGGCAGTCAGAATACTTGCGTTTCCCTTGACAGGCTCTTGGCCTTTCAGGACTCAGTCTAAACAGAGTTTGAAAACTTCCCAATTTAACATCCTGTCACACTGGCACTTCCTAGTATAGCCTGAGAAATCAATGCAAGAATTGCTGCACACCTGAGTTCCTTTTTGGACTGTGCAAATCCTATTAAAGCCTCTGAAAAATCTTAAAGACAAAAACATTAGTTAAACATTATTTACTCTAGGGTTTCTTGGAAACACCACTATCCATTGCCCAAGGTTAGCAAGAGCTAAAGAAACAAGAATTTATGGCAGAGCTTTAGGGAAGGCTCCTGGGACTTGGGACAGAATGTGGCTTGGTGTCAGAGTGGATGGACCAGAAAGTTAATCGTCAGAACTTTGCTCCTCATTCACACAGAGCACAGAGTCCTCCTCCAGCATCCAGGTCTACAGAACACTTCTTGCAGATTGAGAGATTGCTTTGAACCCGTTTCAGTTGCAGATTCTTTGGAGAGAAGATCCAGGTTGTATCTACCATTCCTCTTGCTTTTCACACTCACTGGCCCCACACCTCATGCTCCACCTAGGTTAGGGTGTTTGGGAGGCTTAGGGAAGGTAGCAGGTTTGAGGGAGGATTACCAGAGAAAGGAAGCTTGTAAAAGGGATGGCTACCCAGGCAGATGTCCAGTACAAGGCAGGTCAACATCCTGTAAAACTTGCCCTCAACATTGCCTTTTTTTGTTCTTGGAATTTGGAAAACTGATCCATGCCTCTAGGCTTTTGAACTTGTTGTTACTTCTATCTGGAATGTTCCTCCCCTAAGTGGTCTCCACAGTAAGTAAGGTGGTAGGATTATGATTTGATATTTCTAAAGCTTAGGAATAGTATTATTAAATTACCTTCAGAAATTAAATACATGAGAATATTGCATCTAAAATGTCATATCCTTGTTATCAAATCTGTACTTAGAACATTGGATACATTACTTCTCTTCACCTGATATTGTGATTTACATCTAAAATGTCCCCCAAAAGTCTCATGTTTGAAGATGCGCTCTGGTGAGAAAGGGTATGTCACTATTTCACTAGAGGTGTGGTTTGGAAAGGTGAATTCTTGTCCCTGGCTCTTCTTTTCTATCTGTGTCTGTGTATCTGATCTCTGTCTCTCTGTCTCTCTGTCTGTCTCTCTCTCTCTCTCTCTGTCTCTCTCTCTCTCTCTCTCTCTGTGTGTGTGTGTGTGTGTGTGTGTGTGTGTCACTCTGTCTCTCTCTGTCTCTGTCTTTTTCCTGGTTGCCATGTAATGAATACTTTTCCTCTACCATTCCATTCTTCCATGCCATTTTCACCTTGGAGCAACTGACCATGGACTGATTCTATGGAAACTGTAAGCAAAATAAACTTCTCATTTAAATTGTGGGTTTCTGATATTTTATCTCAATGATGAGAAAGTGATTAATACATAAAATTGGTACCAGAAGTTAGACTGCTGCTGTTACTGTACCTGTTCTTGTGATTCAGAAGTCTTTGGAATGGGTTTGCAGGAAAAATTTGGAGCTCTACAATGTTGTAAGCAATGATATTGGTCAGAGCTCTAAAAATTGAAATGCTGATAGGAATGTGAAAGTTAAAGGCCAGGCTCAGGAGGTTTCAGTTGAAAATAAGGACTCCATTTGGCCCCTGGACTAAAGGCCATATGTGTTTTACTTTGTCAGAAAATTTGCCCCTGACTTATGGACAAGTTCCATTTTGGAATTTTTCATAATTCAAATTCTTTCATAAGCTGACAAAGTGAATTTTTTACAATACACTTGTGAAAGTTTGCAACTCAAATGTTTGTAAGTCAGGGATTTACTGTACTGCCCATGCCCTGAGACAGTGGAGCCACCAGGAAGTTGGAAATTCCAGATATATTGATCATCTACTGAAGGAAGCTGCAGACAGTGAACTAAGCCAGCCCAACAGACAGGTCATGTGGGGTGCAACCAGGAAGATCATAGTGACATCACTGCCTACGCACTTTGGAGGTCATGTCTCACCACAACCTGTCCTGGAAGCTGCGCATACAGCTAAAGGATTTAATATTTGCTTTGCTAGGTTTCAGTCTTGCTTTGGCCCAATATCTTTTATTCCCATTTCTCCTTTTAAGAATGGGAATATTTACCCTGTGCCATTCTATGTCAGAAGTATTTAACTTTCTTTTCTATTTTTACAGATATTCATAGCTAAGAGTTTGCCTTGAGTCTCTGAGGATATTTTGGTCTTGAACTTTTCGCATTGCTGGCACTGAGTAGACACTGGCAAGTCTTACAGAAGAGATAAACTAAATGCATTTTTCAAAATGAGAAGGACATGAACCTCTTGGGTGTAGGGAGAGAATGTTACCTTTTAGATCTAAAGTGTCCCCTAAAAGTCTCACATTCAGAGGCAAGGCCTGATCAGAAGGGGTCACTGGATGTGTGACTTGGGCCGGTACAGTTTTGTCCTTGGTTCTTCCCTTCTTGCTCTGTTTCCTGCCTGCCATGTGGTGAGCAGCTTTCCTCTGCCATGCTGTTCTTGCCTTGGAGTCAGCTGGCCATGGACTGAATCCACTGAAATGTGAGCCAAATAAACCTCTATTCCTTTAAATTGTAGATGTCAGGTATATAATCCCAGTGGTGGGAAAGGACACCCTAACTACTGCAGTCCAACAAATCGTGGACTGTTCGATCACAGCACAACCTGGGAGGATGACGCCTTTCAGAACCTTCACTTGTACTCTCGTGAGTTCATCATGTTGCACGTCAGCTTTCCGGAACATAGTGGCTCAAATAATTTTGGACTACTGTTGTGGGTTGAAGTGTGTTTCCCAGAAAGCTATATTGAAGTCCTAAATCGTGGTACCCATGAATGTTATCTTATTTGGAGACAGTCTTTGCAGATATAATCAAATTAAGATCAGATTATATTAGATTATGATATTATTATTATTATTGGTGGCTCAATTCAATGACTTGTATCTTTTTGAGAAAAAGGAATTCTGCTATGATTAATGTGATCATTATATATGCCTCAAATGTATGAGTAACATCACAAAAAAAAGGGAATTTTTTTGTCTTTTTGAGATGGGGTCTCACTATGTAGTTCAGGCTGGCCTTGAGCTCATGTAGCTCAGGTTAGTCTTGAACAACAATCTTCCTGCCTCAGCCTCTCAAGTGCTGGGATTACAGCTGTGCACCACCATGCCTGGCCTAAGAAAAGGGAATTTTGTACATAGAGTTACAGAGAAGGCACAGAAAGGAAAGAAGCCCACGTGAAGACAGAAGTACAAACAAATGATGCAGCTACTCCCAAGGAAAGCCGGGATTGCTTTGCAAACAACAGAAGCTAGGAAGAAGCCGGGGCATCGTGTTGTGTAGACTTTTTGGAGAGAGCTTGGTGTCTCCTGGCCTCCAGAACTGTAAGGTGAATACATTCCTATTCTTTAGGCCTCCTAGTGCGTGGCACTTTCTATAGCACCTCTCAAAAACAGCTATTGCCACCTATTGAATGCCAGGTACTGTCCAAGGCACAGGAGATCTAGGGTAAACAGGAGCAAAAGAATTCCTGCTGTGACATTCTAATGGAGAAGACAAGACAAAAGCATGTCTTAAAAATGAGGAAAGTGAAGGGAGGGAAAGATGCTGTGAAGACAGTGCGCTAGTGTGAAACAGTATGATCAGAGCGAGCAGAGGGCTGTTCAATTTGAAGAGGTCTGTCTGAGAAGGTGAGAATCAAATAAAAAGATGGAAAGTATGCATACAATTTCATCTTATTACAGAAAGTTGGTATTATAAAGTTGTCTGTCTTATCATAAGCAAAAA